AATAAGCTAAATAAAAATAAATTTATTTCAAATACTGTATTTTTTAGTTCTATAATTTCCATTTGGTTCTTTTTCCTTAAATATATTTTTATTTTTCTGTGCTGTGGTTTCCCATTGTATATTCTTTAGGATAATTTTTCCTTTAATTCTTTGAGATACTAAAACTGCTTTGAAATTCTCGTCTCTTAATTCTTATATCTGGTCATCTCAGAATTAGTCTTTCCTGATTGAATTCTTTCCTGAATCTGGACCTTGTGTTCTTATGTCTTCGTGTGTCTAGAGGTTGGGATGGTGTCCTCGGCATTTCTAATGCTACATTGTAGACACTCTGGATTGGCGTATGTTCTTCTGAAGAGTACTGTTTTGTGTTTGGTTTTGTTCTACTTGGTAGTTCACTGGGCTGAAGTTGAACTCCGAGCTCTGTCTTCCGTGCAGTTGGGGTCTTCGTTCACTTCCATCAGCTGGGGTGCTGCAAACCCACCCTGCACGCGGGTCGTGTGGCGTCGGGGTGAGAGGGTGCCAGCGTCTGGGCTCCTCTGAGACACTCTCCCGCCTCAGGTCTCCCCACCTCCTCTGCTGCTCTTTAGCTGCTGTGGTTACTCCCGTCTTGGGCCTCTGGGTCTTCATGCCTTCAAGTCTGTGATTTTCTAAAGGTGGTAGCCATGCTAAACCATTCGTTCCGAGGCAAAACCCAAATGAAACAAATAACAAAAGATGAAATCGAGAACTATTAAAATGGTAAACTCTCTGTTTTGGGGGACCTTTAAGACCACCCCCAGTTTTTATGATTCCCTAGGAGGACTCCCCCCACCAGGACTTAGCACATAGTTCTCCTCATGACCATGGTTTATTCCAGCGACGGGACGCGGGACACAGATAGCCCAGTGAAGGCACTGGGCTGATTCTGGAGGAAGCAGGGGGCACGGCTCCGGAGCCCATCCCGGTGGACTCCCACAGGACACACTGCATCCCTCCGGCAGCCGTTACAAGAGCACAAGTGGGGTGGCTCCTGCTGCGGAAGGGCAGGAGAGACCATGGGGCGTTCCTCTGTCAGGTGCACGCGAAGCTGCCGGACTCCGGGAAGGGAGCAGGTGTTCGGTATAAGCCACGCTGCTTGAGTAAATCAGTCAGGCACAGGCGGTCTTTCTTACCTGGGAATGGTGGGAATGCTCCTGCCGTCCCCATCCCTAGACCCCACCCAAGGGCCAGCCTTGCTTGTGAGCAGGCCTTTCTCAAGTCCGTGCTCCGGTTTCTGCACAGCCCACTGCCTTGGCCCAAGTGTCTTTACAGGGGAAGTGCTAGCAGCTGTGTTGTGCTGGGACCTCACTCAGCCGGTGAGGCCAGTCTGCGGGCCTGCCAGGCGTGCCCTGTAGAGCCCCGGCCGCGAGGACAGTATTGCCGCCGCTCCCGCAAAGTGCAGGCGACAGGTCCACGCTGCCAGGTGTGCTCTAGCCCAGAAGCCCTTTCGAGTCTCAGTGCCAGGCGCTGGCAGCGGGAGGGTTTTCTGCTAGACCGGAGAGCCCGCCAGCCGTCGTGAGAAGCAAAGGTGACCTCCTTCCTCTGGTCCTCCCCAGTGTTGTGCCCCCAGGAGTCCTCACGTCGTCGGCCCAGACTTTCAGCTCAAAGGATTTTATCCAAGAAGCACAAAGCATTTAGGATGCCTGGATGTCTCAGTCAGTTGAGTGACTCTTGGTTTCAGCTCAGGTCAAGAGATCGAGGGATTGAGGGACTACAGGGTCATGAGATCGAGCCCCACATTGGGCTTCACGCTTGATGGGGGGGCGGTGGTCTGCTTGGGATTCTCTCTCTGCCTGCCCTCCCCTGCTCGTTCTCTCTCGCTCTTTTTGTCTCTCTCTCCAATAAATCTTCCTTAAAGAAACACAAAACATTTTTTTACAGGAAATTATTTTTTTCTTTAGAGAAAGGTAGTGTGTATGTGGATTGGGGGGGGAGGGGCCGAGGGAGAAGGAAAGAGAGAATGTCATGAGCTGAGTGCAGGGCTTGATCTCGTGACCCCGAGAGCACGACCGGAGCTGAAGTCAAGAGCCAGACACTTAAGAGACTAAGTCAGCCAAGCTCCCGTACAGGAAAACGTTTTTATACAAAGTAATGCCGAAGACCATCATGTTTAGGAATTGGTCAGGATGAGATCTGAATCTTCGGCCCATTTCAGAACAGCTTCATGTGCCCACCTCCGCTTTGTCCCCATCACTTCTCTGGGGAGTGGCCCAGAAGAGATGATTTACTTTCTGGAGCAGCAGCGCCTAGGAACCACACTGCCTCACCATAAGGCACGCACACGGGGCAGGCGAGGGACACGGGTTCAGGAGCGTGGTCCGCTGTCGCAGACCGCAGCCGGTCGGGACCGCCAGCCGCAGGCTAATGGCACCCAGGCACTCCCGAGACAGATGGGGCTGCGGCGGGGTCACCAGGATGGCGCGGGCCCCCTCCCTCTTGCAGCGTTGGACAGGGGTCTCGTGTTGGTACCCAGAGCATTTCAATTTCATAGCGCCCGGCAGAGCGTGGGCCCTTGACTGTGGGTGGCTCGGGTAACTCAGGGGACCCGGCCAGCAACCAGTTGTTTTAATGCTTAATGTCCCTCCAGGGGGTCTGAATTCTTGCACCTGTTGCCGGTCCCGGCTCCGTGTGTGAACCTGTTCCTGCATCAGCTTGGCGCTGATCGTGCCATGATTGCACGGTGGGGATGGGGGGGCCCTGTCTCTCATGACACGCTGGGAAGCCCGCTCTGTTCCGACACCAGCTGGGCCTGCCGTCCACAGCTTTACCCTGCTGTCCAGTGAGCTTGCACCTGACAAGCTCTTGTCTCAGTGGCTAGGTTTCTCCTTCTCCGCTGGTTTTTCTCAGTAGTCACTAGATGGTCGCGGCCAACCCGCATTTGTATGACAGAATATTCCTTATCTTAGAGAAGTCTCCTTCCCTTTCCAGCGGCGCGTCTGCAGTGGTTCTCCGTGTACTTCGGATGCCTGTTGTTACTGCGTAGATTACTGCGGAAGTGCAAGGGGAGTCCTCATCTTCGGTCAGCGAGACTGGAAATGCGGGCAGCGCAGGGGCCGGGGCCCTGCGGCATCAGGCTCTTGGGGGTGGGCTGCCCGTGGCCCTGGCGAGGAGCACGGGCACAGCCGGCTGGAGCTCTTTACCTCCTTGTTGCTGTGGGTCTTGTTTAAATTCCAGGCCTGTAGTAAGGACAGATTTCTTAAACTTTGGTATAGCGCTCTATTTGCCCAGCTTTCTCATAGCCAGTTAAGCCTATATTTTTTCAAAAACGACTGAAGTATCAAGAACTAGAGACCTCTGGTAGTTTACCCTGCAAGGCTCCAGCATGAGTAATCTCCGTTCGTGGATGTGACTCACCTGCTTAGAGCGTCATCCACGTCCACATGGGTCAGTTCGGAAAACACAGGAACATATTTAGACTGTGTCAGATTTAGTCGGTCACTCTCCAGCCGCCTCCCGGTGTGAACTCAGACGGGCTTTCTACCTGTGTGCTTTGGAGTCTCCTAATGTTGGTTACACGCTGGTCACGTTAGGACGTGTGGGATCGCCGCCGCCCGGAAGGAATGGGAAGTCACTCACCCATGGGCTGCCTGGTGGGCAGCGTAGTCAGAATCCCGTGTGGGTGTTGGTGTCGTTAAAGGCCACACAGATGAGGAACTTTTGAGTATTATAAATTCTTTGTGATCTCCTGGTAAAAATAATCATGCCCCATTAAATAATTAAAATTTGTTATCAACACATTTTCACTTATTATAACATTATTTTGATAAAATTACATAGAGTTTTAAAGAAGATATGGTCCTATATATACAATGGAATATTATGCCTCCGTCAGAAAGGATGAACACCCAACTTTTGTGTCAGCATGGACGGGACTGGAGGAGATGATGCTGAGTGAAATAAGTCCAGCAGAGAGAGTCAAGTATCACGTGGTCTCACTTACTTGTGGAGCATAAGGAATAACACGGAGGACATGGGGAGATGGAGAGGAGAAGGGAGTTGGGGGAAATCGGAGGAGACGATCCATGAGAGACTGCGGACTCTGAGAAACTGAGGGTTTGGGAGGGGAGAGGGGTTGGGGGGATGCGTGAGCCTGGTGGTGGGTATTAAGGAGGACACGTGTTGCCTGGAGCACCGCGTGTGGTACATAAACAATGAATTCTAGAACACTGAAAAAGTAAAATTACAATGTTAAAAATACTTAAAATTTCTAAATCAGCAGGTGTACTTTTATAAATTTTCTTAAAATAAGGTGTTTAAATGTCATCTCTGGGGACTTACTGTTGAAGCGTTTATCTGTTGCCTGTGAATGGGGTGACCTAAACCTCTTTTTTTCTACTTTAAAGCTAGTTCTGAGAAAGTTGCTCTGAAGTGTGTGGTTAAAGTTTACCTTCCCATACGATTTCATAAACTGGATCGCGGGGATGTGGTTCAGGCTCATGGGAGAAATGCAGTATGTTCCTGGCTTTAAGGAAGTAGCTTGTTTATAGCATATACAGTCGCCTTTAGAAGAAAAAACACGCAAATAAATTGAGGAATTTGCTGAATTGTTTTATAGAACTTAAGTAGAATTGTGAGGATTACTTAAATTCCACTGAATTCTTGGGTATCCGTGGAACTTCCAAATACTCCTGTCATACACGATATGACAAAAGTCCATGAGGTGTACCCCCACCTTTAAGCTTGGACTCTGGGGCAGCCCCAGGCAGTGTGTCATTTTGGAGTGTCCCCCAAGAGCTCGACACACACCTGTCATTCCGCAGCAGACTGTTGGAACCAGGAGAAATTGCCACACTTCTGTTGAGCTTCAACATGATTTTCCTTAGTTATCTTCCATCCTAACCTAGTGCTGGCGCAGAAGATACAGGGTCACCAACCATCACTTTTGGTAAATAACATACGAAAGATATTCGCTGGTGACTGAAAAATTCCCAAGTAGTTTTGTCTAATTACCATGTAATTCACTCTGATGTTCTCTGTTGCAGGACCTTTTTTCAATCCGTGCTTATGTTTATGCTCAGAAGCCACAACTGGATATTCATAGTTTTGAAGGCACATTTACCAGGGTAAGTTAAATCTTTTGTTAAATACTAATATATTCATTGTGTGCATAAGTTAAAAACAGTAAGCCTTAAATTTGAATAAATGAGAACAGAAGCTTTGAACTGAAAAGGGAAAGCCTAGAGAATGTTTCCCACCCTCAGTCTCTGTGGGGCACACTCGGTGCCGTGTTTTCGTTCAGTGGACTTAACTCCGGAAACGGTCCTTCTCCCTGAAAGTCTTAGGAGTCAGTAAGGGGAAGTACCCTCGCTAGTCCGGTGTGAGTCGGGATGGTAGTGAGTACACTGTCACGGCCGTGTCGTCTCCTGATCTGGGCTGACCGGGTGGCTGTGCGTCTGCTCACGTACACGTGTGTGCTTTGTGCCATTCTTGGCACCGTTGTCGTGTTTCGCTACAGCTTGACATCCCTTTTCCCCGATGACTCCCCGGTCAGTAACTTGACTGTAACAGCGTATACTGATTTTATAAATGCTTTATGATACTTAAAGGGTTTTAGTATGCGACTGTCGTTGCCTTTTAGTTCCTGCAGATTTCTGTCGGGCTGTCTGCTGCATTTCCCTCTCGCTCACGGACCGGGATGAGCGAGCAGTTGTCATCGTTTGAGAAAGCGCCTGCTGGTGCCGGATCGTGAGCACATGGTGGGGCAGTGGAATGAGGTGCCTGTAGAGGAGGTGGTCGTCAGTCACGGCTTTGTGACTTTATTGTTACGGGTGCTTCAGTTACAGTACGTTCAAGGTGCTCATGGAATCGGTTTCCATGAGGGAGACGAGGCAGTGTATAGTGAGTTCTGGAGAAAACCCAAGGTCTGTGTGTTTGTGTAAAAATATTTATGAAAAAGATCATCTTCTAATTAAAGACAATTTAGTATATTTGAGAAAAAGCCTTACCAAAGGGCTTCCTTAGTAAGAATAGTTAGGAGTTATTAACTTAGGGGGCGCCTGGGTGGCTCCATCAGTGAAGCGTCCGCCTTCCGCTCAGGTCATGATCCCGGCGTCCTGGGATCGAGCCCCGCATCGGGCTCCCTGCTCAGCAGGGAGCCTGCTTCTCCCTCTCTCTCTGCCCGCTCTGCCTGCTTGTGCCCTCTCTGTTTCTCTGTCAAATAAATGGATAAAGTCTTAAAAAAAAAAAAGTTACTAACTTAGCCACTATTAATGTTTTAGAATAGTACTTTCCTTCTTCCGTTCTGTTTCCAGATTTCTCTTGCTTATCACCTGCTGAGAGGTGGGAACGTCTGCGTGTGTGTGTGGCGTCCCACTGAGTCGGTGCGAGGGAGCAGGAGTGCAGCTCAACACAGCGAGGCTGCAAAGCCCAGTTCACACAGCGCGTGACCGAGCACGGGACAGTGCGAGACGTGTGTGCGTGGCCGAGCGCGTGCGGCTGTGTGTGAGTGAGCGTGCAGGTGCGGGGGAAGGGCAGCCCGGCTCCGTCCTGGAGGTCTTGTCGGAAGAAGAAGCCATTTCAGGGTTTCCAGCTTAGAAGAGCGACTAATATTGGTTTATGTACAAGAGTCGTCTAGACCTCTGGTCTGCTTGGGGTGAAGGCAGTCGCCTGCATTTGCTCGCATCCTCACTGCCTCCCCAAACCGCGCGGGCCAGGTGCGGGGGTAGCTCGGCCACCCAGAGCTCGTGCACGCAGCACACGTGGGAGAGAGGGAAGTCGGCGCGCTCTGGTGTCCGTAAGGGAGGCCGAGCAGCGCCGCGGCACAGTCGGCTCCAGAGCCACGAGGGGTCCGGGAGTTGTCTCAGGGTTTGGACCCGGTCGAGGCTCTGGAGTTCACGGCAGTTACGTTTGCCTCGTGTGAATTACTGCACGTTCTCAATGGGTGCAGGCCCCCCGCCCGGCCTCGCGCGGCCTCTGTTTGCTGTTCCTAACAGGATTTTATTTCACTCCTTTTAATACGCTCATAGTGAGCTCTGCATTGCTTTCAGAGAAAAAGCTTTATTTTCGTGTACGTCTTTCAAACCAGAAGGAAAGGAAAAACCATGCTAAGTAACGGGTCTGTGACTGGAAATGTGATTCATCAGTTCAGCTACGGGATGTCAGGTGGGCATCCGAAGGAGTGACGCTGGACGCCTGGGGCTCCGTGGGTGAAGCCGCTGCCTTCGGCTCAGCTCACGATCTCAGGGTCCTGGGATCGAGTCGCCCATCGGGCTCTCTGCTCGGCGGGGACTCTGCTCCCTCCTCTCTCTGCCGCCTCTCTGCCTACTTGTGATGTCCGTCTGTCAAGTAAATAAAATCTTTAATAAAATAAAAAAAAATAAAGAAGTGACACCTGCGTATATTCCTCTTCTAGAGTATGAGCTGCGAGAGAGAGAATACACGTTGTATATCAGCCCAAGTAATTAAATAAGAATCAGAGTAGATTAATTCAGGCGTCCTGTGCCGGTACGCGTGTTATGTACTTTGTTGCCTGGGCAGAGTCTAATTACGCACATTGTGGATAACGTCTGCTTCTGCCTACCTCGTAATGTCACGGTCACCTCCGCTGCTCACTTACGATGTTCTGAGTAAGACAAATGACTCATATTATTACTAGTATTATTGATAGAATTGATTTGCTTATTATTCAGGACCCAGTAATTCTCCCTGAAGTTTAGAGTTTAAAACTAGCCAGTTTTGAAATATTAGCCGTGTTCCTAGGCCTTTAACATCGCCTTCCCATTTAATGTTCTTCATTGCGTGTTTTGCTGTCATTTCTTCTGCAAACCATAGCTCATTCGTCAGTGTTCAGGTCTTCTCCGATCCAAATACCCCCTTTCTAAAAAGCGTAGCTCTCTTCTTTGTTAGGAGGGGTGTACTGTTGAGAAAATAGCTTCAAATGCTTTTGCTTTCTCCCTCCCCGAAGCAGATCTCATCTGCAGACTGTGTAACATTAAGGAGAAGGAAACCCAGAGACAGAGTTACTTAGAGATCATTTCTTTGCCATCTTCCCAATCTTTATTCTGTACTGTATGAGATTGGTAAAGAGCTATCTTTTACAATAATTTTCTTTTTTTTTTTTTATTTTTTTTATTTTTTTTTTTTTAAAGATTTTATTTATTTATTTGACAGAGAGAGATTACAAGTAGACAGAGAGGCAGGCAGAGAGAGAGAGAGAGAGAGAGAGAGAGGGAAGCAGGCTCCCTGCTGAGCAGAGAGCCCGATGCGGGACTCGATCCCAGGACCCTGAGATCATGACCTGAGCCGAAGGCAGCGGCTTAACCCACTGAGCCACCCAGGCGCCCAATAATTTTCTTGATATTAGAAAAAGTGTAATGTTTAAAGTCCATCATTGTTATTACAGAATTGAAAAGAAACTGCATACTGTGTTCCTTCAATACATAATTGTGCTAGAAATAGACAAAATGGGTTGACAGGATTAAATAGTGGTAGAAAAGTAATGGGAGAACCAACTTGTTTTGAAACGAAATTGTATTGAACCTTTTATTTGCAGTCTAGAAAGCCTTATAATATGTGTGTATTTACGTATTTTAAAAGATTTTATTTATTTATTTTAGAGAATGAGAGAGAGAGAGAGTGCCCAGGTGGGGTGGTGGGGGCAAAGCAGAAGGAGACGGAAAGAATCTCAAGGAGACTACCCACTGAATGCAGAGCGAGACGTGGGGCTCACTTTCATGGCCCTGAGATCACGACCTGAGCCGAAATGAAGAGTCAGATGCCTAATGGACTGTGCCACCCGCTGCCCCGCGTATATTTTTTAACGCTGCATTTTTTTGGAGTTTGACACGGTGGGGAAATGTTATACTAAAGGATATGCATTAGTCATGTTGAAATGTCTGTATGTAGGGACCCCGCAGAAGAGTTTCAGACTCATAACCTCATACTCATTTGCACTTTTGTGGTCACTTGATGGGCAGCTGTGAGTAGGCTGGCCTAGAGGGGTGCTCTAGAGGCTTCAAGTGCGGCCGGCCGCTGGCTTCCTGCGGAGCGCAAAGAGAAGGGGCGTCCATGTGTTTCTACTCTGGTTTACTCAGTACTCAGCCCTTAGAGGCGCCTGCTCTGCGCTCGGTGCTCTGAAGGTCTGGGTCAGCACCATAGTCACATAGCGCAGTCCGGCAGGGAGAGGAGCATGGACGTTGCCACGATACATGAAAACAAGTCAGAGTTCATGTTAGAGAATCTTAGTATTTGTTTCGTACTTTATTTTTTTTTAATTTTTATTTTTTTTAAAGATTTTATTTATTTATTTGACAGAGCGATCACAAGTAGGCAGAGAGGCAGGCAGAGAGAGAGGGAAGCAGACTCCCCGCCCAGCAGAGAGCCCGATGCAGGGCTCGATCCCAGGACCCTGAGATCATGACCTGAGCCGAAGGCAGAGGCTTAACCCACTGAGCCATCCAGGAGCCTCCTGTTTTGTACTTTAAATGATAAGCGTGTGAGTCAGCAACTGGCAGGTTTTTATCCAAATTATGCACTCCGTTTGCTGGGTTGTGGCTGTAACTCCTAGATTCACAGACACCTGGGAGATAAGCCATGTGGACTGTGTCTGTGTCTGGGAAGTAGGAGTGAGTCTGCACAGCTTGTCCTCTGTCCAGCGGTGAAGGTCAGAGTTGGATTCTAAGACCGTCGCTCCGTGGATCAGAAGTTAGACTTTTCCGTTCAGGTATAAACAAGTACAAAACATGATGCATAGAGGCCACATAGTTCTCTCTTGACGGTTGATGCTTTGTTCTAGAAAATCATAAAAGTCGAAGGGAAAACTCCGTTTTCTTGCATTGTTTATTCCTCAGGCAATTGTTACCTCTTTGCTTTTCTTTATAAAGAGAGAGACCAAATGACAGCTCCCTGGCCCGGCATTTTCCCGTGGACGCATCAGGGAGCGGTTCTGGAGCACCCGGGGTGTGGTGCTGGAACGACCTTCCGCGCGGTGAAGGCTGACGATGGCGTGTTAGCCGCTGTGTGGGCCCTTGATCTGACGCTGGGCTGTGACCACCGCTGGAGTGAAGCTGTGTAAAATAACGTGGCTCGTGATGGTCTTACCTTCTGATAGAAGCCCTGATGTTAC